ATAAACATAATACTAAACAACCTAAAACTACCTCGGGTACATATCTGTAGTACCTGTTACGACAACGACCCCTTGAGCCTAAATATTCACCATTCATGGGGTGATAATTATGATTTATGTATTGTCTATTGATATCACAGAGTAAGAATGAGCTACTGCCTACTGGCTACTGCATGTACAAGACCATATGTGGTAGTATTTTGCAAAAAAAGGGGGATATATGCCATGGGGGATCCCAGCCTGCAGAATGTGGCATTTCATGATTAGGCATTTCAAATATACACCCAGTGTGATCCGGTCGTGTGTGCAGCCACCACGCACACTTGAAATTTTAGATGTCAATCTGGGTGTATGTCTCAGCCAAAATCCAAGCCAAATTCAGAATAATCGCGAATTCAAATCGTGGTACTGTTAGCGCGATGTTAGCACTTAATTGTGTTTGTTTGGTAACTATATCACTGAACTGCCAGAATTCCCAGTAGATATGCACATTATGCTAGCCATTTCAACAGGCTGTCAAATGCTGCAACAACTGTCTTATTGTTATATGATCGGCCAGGTGTCGCCTAATTTTAAGAACCAGTAAGATTTCAAGAGTTAAAATAAACCACTAAATAACTCGATAAACACCACGAATGTTCAATGAAGTTCAGAGTGCAGAGCTTAGTATGCAGAGGGAACTTGAATCTATCAATGTTTCAATCAGGTTTACTAGCACTAGGAAGTGCTGCATAGAGGTGATAGGTCATCACGAGGTTATCCCACATGTCTTTACATTACTTTCAGACCATGCGACGGAACTGCATATTGCCACTGCTAGGGTGAAGGAGCTGGAGGCAGCACTGGTTACAAAGCTTTATGAGGTACAGATGTACAGGGTTGGACAATGTTGGGTGTGATCTGGTAATTCAAATAGAATGAGATCGGATGGGATGTGATCTAAGCACCATGTCAGGATGATGGATCTTAGGAATTAAGAAGGGGGATCATTAAAATCATGTGCTGGTGTCTGGTGAAGTTAATGGACAATGTTAGGATTTGTACATATTCTACAAGTGATGCACTTATGTTTCATTATAGACTAGCGGGATACTCGGCGTTGCCCGAGGAAATCAGTGGCGTTACTCAGTTGGTGACCGCTTGGTTGAAAGGAAAATACCCAAAAAAATCTAACTATCTATCTATCTATGCATTCATTCATGCATCCATCCATCCATCCCATTTCATCCCATCCCATCGCACCGCATCCCATCCAGGGTTCTCCCCAGGATGAAATTGAAACGGGGGGGGGGAAACTAGGGGGGTCCGGGGGCCTGGTCGAATCACTGGCAGCAAGAACAAGTCCGCACCTGCAGTTACAACACACACGCATCTATTGACTATATATAACAACATTATATATAGTTATATATAACTACTATAACAACTATAGCTACTATAACAACTATAACTACTATAACAACTATTATAACGTTGTTATATATAGTCAATAGATGCGTGTGTGCTGTAGCTGCAGGTGCGGACTTGTTCTTGCTGCCAGTGGGTCGAATAGGAATTCTTGCCGAGGTGGCCCTTCAATTGCCAGTAGCAGCAGCGCCTCCAAAGCTGACTCACTCCGCCTGTTCCTCATGTAGCCATTCCCATTAAATTTTTTTTTGAATTGGGGCGGAAATAATTTAAACGTGGCGCAATGATTGAAACGGGGGGGAGTTTTCCCAAACGGGGCGGGCGCGCCCGGTTTGCGCAACATAGGGAGAAGCCTGCCATCCCATCCCATCCTATATCCCATCCCATCTCATGCCATCCCATGCCATGCCATCGCACTGCATCCCATCGCACTGCATCCCATCCCATCCCATGCCATGCCATGCCATCGCATGCCATCCCAAACAGTAAAAAATAATAAGAAATCAAAAGATAAAAGACATTAAATATAAAAAATATAAAATAATACATACTAAAGAGGTAGGTTAATAGTCCGGCAGAATAGGGCATATGGTTTGCATGGAGGTATATAGTTTTTCTTACGTTCGTTTTCTTATGTTCTTGCACCAAATAAGGCATTTCTAACAACTGGCAGTTGCTCAGTTGTGGGGAATTTTATTTAATGTAGATTTATCCAAAACCGCATCTGCACCAAATAAGGCATTTCTAACAACTGGCAGTTGCTCAGTTGTGGGGAATTTTATTTAATGTAGATTTATCCAAAACCGCATCATAAACAATTGAATTTGGATTAAATAAAGCCTAGTGTCCAATAATGAGATGCCAATGCATGTAAAAATTATATTATACTATCATTTACAGTTGCATTTAACATTTTGAAATAGTTGTAGACTAATACAAGCATAAACGTCTGTGATTAGGCATGAAAATTGGTTTACCGTTAAACCTTCCCTTATGTTAAACACGCAAAATCCACGAAAATGAGTTTGGCTTTTGGGTCATCAATTGGCTTTAATCGTCCTCCTCCTCCTCTTCCTCGTCATCAAAGGCTTCGTGTTGGACGACTCTAGTTTGTTCATTACAACATGCAGCACTGCCCTGACAATTGCAAAACATTGTATACACGCCAGTCTACCAATGTTACAACCACAGCCCTTGGACTTGCATGGACTCTCCGAAGAACAAGAACACTTGATGAGCTTGAGTATGTAATCTGGTGCTGGGGGAGTCGTAACAGGGAGAGTGCCCGGCTGTAGGGACTTATATAGTTTCCTCATCCCTTACCCAGCCATATTCCGTGGGATCAAGGTCTGGATGCTTTGAATGCTTCATTGGTGGGTGGCAGAGTGCACAGCTTCGGTGTACCTGCCTGTTGCTCCTTTTCTACCTGTCTTTGTTTTCCAAGCTTTAATTCTTGACTCAGTCATGGATGTTGCATCATGAGACAAAAGCTGTGGACTGGAGCAACACATCATCAAAGTCAGCAGTCTGATTCCCAAGGAGGCTCAAGCTGCATTTCCCTTCTCGAAGAGTTTTCAACATCTTGCCCTTTCCGATCCCGTGGCACATGGGAACAGTGTTGCAACCTGTCAGGGCATGGGCTGGTAACATGTCGGGAATGATACTGGAAAGCTTTATCACTGTAGCACTAATATCCACAACAGCTCTGCCTTTTTTTGGTGACTGCATTATCATAGGAATGTTAAGCCCTCTATCGAGGTAATGGTACAGCAACAGAACGTACACATCTGTGTCATCTGCCTCAACAATGACTTTCTTCTTCTCTTCTTTTGCTGCATATATCGCCTGTGCTGTGACGATTGTGTCTGCTTCTTCATGGTCTGTCTTGAGGTCTGTTCTCTGAATTACTAAGCCGTACGGAGAAATCTCTACAGGCACTTGGCACATCTTGGCCAGTAATGACTAACGTGTGGGTATGGCCTCCCAGTACATCCATGTCACCTTTAAAGTCCTCACACATAATACAATTCCCCATCAAACTAAACTTCGCCATGAGCATCAACAAAGCTCCGGGCCAGACGCTGTCTGTCGTCGGTCTGCACCTCGGATAGTCCTGCTTCTCCCACGGACAGCTGTACGTGGGGAGCTCAACAGTTGGAGACGCCAGGAATCTCTACATATTTGCAACAGAGAATAAGACGAAAATCATTGTTTATCAAGAGCCTTTGAAATGAAAAGTGCAACCCATTCGTACATGCTGTTATAATTAGGCCACTGCACCGTTAAGGTTATAGGTGTTGAACAACAGTAGAGGGCATCCATAGGCGGCAGGCCTGAATAAGCATCGAACAGAAATTAATTAAAAATACTCACACTGTTACTGCGCTTACACAACATACACTTTATTCATGTTAAATAACTACAGATTTATCCTCTATGCTCCGCTCGAAACTTTTGCCAGCTCTATGATGCGAATTTCTACAACGTTTTCTGAACACATTTCAAACACAAAAATGACCAACCGCTCGCTGTGGCTACGCCACCTGACGGAATGTCACGAATACAAAACGACCAATTTTACTGCATAATGCAAATTATTGCACTCTAGTGCCGAATTTCTGCGAAAAAAAAATGTGAAAAAAGGCATTATCTAGAGGCGAAATAGTGCAACGGTGACCAATTTGCGGAGGCTTACTGTTGTACACCTCCTATACCCATGGATTCACACGTACGTGATGTTAATCTGTATGCACTGCCATCTATTGATGAATAGAATTTTTATGAATTTTTAACTTTTTAACTTTTTTAAATTTTTGTTTTAGCCAGAACCACCTCCTAGACGTGCTGATTCTGAACATATCTTTAGTTTTCCTCTAGGCTGCGGAGTTCTCTAGTTATGCGAGTACGAACTAATTCGGCTGAACAACTTCATATATCTATACTATAATTTGGCTAATCTTCTGTGTGTTTGTTTGTCCTCGCTTTTCGCCCTGATTTGTCACTCAATCGTGCTAACTGAAGATATATTCAGAATCACCACGTCTGGGAGATGGTTCTGGCTGAGAAAAAAATTAATAAGTTGAAGTATAAGTATTAAGAAAATTTAAAAAAAATGGCTATTCGGTCAATAGATGGAGTGCGTAGCAGCGAGATCCACATGCACATACGTGGAATTACCGGCGTCTCTTGACTGCCGCCCGTATGGAGCATATTCAGAATCACCACGTCTGGGAGATGGGTTCTGGCTCAAACAAAACTACCTATTCTCTCAATAGATGGTGCTACGTCTCAGATCCCCCCCCCCCTACTGCAGATTCGCGCCCTGCTCACTCTGCTTTGACGGTACACCGTACTGACACATGTAGTCAGTGGCCAGTAGCTGTGGCCAGTGTTATGTTGTAGCTCGTGCCAGAGTTTTCTTTTCAGTTACATGAAATATTTTAACTTTATCTGTTGTCCACTTACATGGAGTGTTTATATATTAAAGACACATTTTGCTGTTCTTACGGGTATACTTTCTGCAGTATAAATATAGATAATACTATAAGTGATGGATAGAGTAGGCTAGTGCATAGTTATTTACTGCTATGTTTGCTGGTCCAATTGATTTATATGTGCTAGTGACAGTTCTTACTAACATAGAGATAACCAGCGAAACTCTATAGTCGATGAATGGTCATTTTAATACACTGTCGTAGTTACAACTTGCGAAAGGTCACTTCATACATCATGCACTGAAGCTGCATATATAGAATATTCATATAGGAACCTTAGTCATTGTACAGAAACACTAGCCCGTACTTATGCATGCTGGCGAATCTAGATGGAAAAAAAAATTAAACATCCTGCATATTGAGTGATGTACACCTCCGACATGTAGACCCATGCATAGCTAGACTCTCACACAAATGATCAAGTTGCTTTTAGCTCATCTGAGCATAGTCAGATCAGCTATGTAGGAACGCATGAAGCGTGCGTGCGGCGTTCCGTCTGTGCGTGCGTGCCGTCACAGTTGGCACAAATCTAACGGCTCGACGTACGGTCATGCGCGATATTTACGCGACGTGGTGGGTAAATCGCGCAAGACGAGTGGGATGGTCGAAGCTGGGGGTCAAAGGTCACAAGGTCAAAGGTCAAGAGGTGTAGAAAGAAGGGGGAACATTCCCTGTACTTAACTTAAGGTATAGGGAGTTAATGGCAGAATTGCTGCAGCAAATCTAAATGGGTTGACCTAAGGCTCGTGATAGTCGATGGAGTGCATTCATGGTAGGTAAAAAAAGCATCACTGGTGGCGAAATTTGGAGTCACAGCTTCAAAGTCAATGGGCAGCGAGGGCCAGATTTTAGATCATTTTAGGAACATGGTCCTGACGGATGGCGATTTGAAAAACTTTTTTGTTTCAGCGTGAATCCTAGCATTTTAATTGCTTATTGGGAAAGGACTCCATGAAAAGTACTTCCGCTGACATGGCGAAGAGCTAAGTGTGCGGATAACTTTTGACCACCTTAAGAGAGGGTTAAACATTGATTTGTTTGCTCAACTGCAATTGGGCGAGTACCTTGTTGTGGAAAGCCCTTCACGCCATTTTACAGTGAATTCACACATAAAGCTTAGTCTTACTTGAACAACGGCTACTTAGGAGATAATGGAGATGGCTCTATATATGAGATTCGTAGTCAGCTGCTCGAATAAGCGTTGTCTCGGTGTCCGAGAACAACCAGATTTGCGCCGGAACAACGCTAACCAGTCCTGAGACCTGTCGCGGTGGACACCAAGAAAAATGTGACCGAATAAAAACCGCCACTTTATTTATGTTTTTCTCAGGGGTTCTCCAGAGCACTTATAGCCCTGGCGCCGGCAGATTAATCTATGGTGTGGGAACAGCGACGCCAATACAGCTCTTTTTCCAATACTGGTAATATGTCAGGGTTTCTGATTTATTGAGAGGAGTGACTCGTCGATTTGGAACAAGCAAACCCAGCAAGTTCACCCCTACATGTTTGGTTTTTTATTCCATTATTATTTTTGAATTTGCGATGGGGGCTTTGCCCGATGCAAAACAAACCAAGAGTGGATTCATGTCTGAAGCCGAAAGTTAAAAAAAGAGAATTGTCGTAGTCAGGAATGAAGGCTGTACATGTACTCAAAAGTGCGCGCAAATACCATCTCCTGCGATCTACATTTCTCGAAAATTCTGGGAGGACCCATACCCCCCTGCTTGGTTTTCACCCCTCCATACCATTTTCACGAATTATATAGGATTAGGATCAGAGAACAATAGAACAAAAATGTCGCCTTTCGGCATGGGCATCCCAAAACAAAGATTGACAGAGGAAGGTAAGAGGAGTCCGTACGGGTGTGAGAGGAGGCGGAGAAGCCATTAAAATATTTAATCTCATCCACTATTTGCGGCAGTTGCCTGTTTTTGGCCCGGGGCAACTGGTTAATAAAATCTCGGGGTCCTGTCTGTGATACCCCGGTCGGTCGACGGCAGACGACCTAGGCCGCATGATAAGCGACACTGCAGTTGATGTGAGGGGAGCCCTTGGGCCTGCGACTCTGTTTAATTCAACCAACGATTTGGATCGCCATTACATGGAATTCGCTTGGAACCTTGTTTTTATAAGTTTTTGAGTATGATTGGAACATGATGAACCAAATTAACTTCCTCCAGAACTAGTCTATAAATGTTCTACTCAAGATTAGGGTTAAGTGGGGACAAAATTTCCAGTGGATACCCAAAGTGAATCTTTTTTCATAAATGGAAATTTACAATACGCCCTTCCACTAACGCACCGCCCTTAAAGCCCGAGGCTGCGAGCAACTGCGCGGAGATTTGTACAACTCGCACTAATCGGTTCCGACTAAAATGCACGTTGTCGGTGGATTAAGTCCGACATAGTCAAGAACCTTGCGCAACCGATAGGCAGCGCTGGCTACACAAGTGTTTTTGGGTGTTTTCCTGAGCATATCTATATTATGTGAATGAAATAGGAGATTTGGGGATATTTTTATTGGGAGCAACCAGAAATTGTTTGGCGGACAAACCGATTTGACTTGCCTGGGTTGTCCGGCAGGACAACCACATTTTTTTTCCTTATTCGGCACTGGTAGTGTACATTATGAATAGTTGGAATACAGCTCACTTAGCACTCAAATAATTACGCTCAGGAGTGAGGGCTGGCTGAGTATCCCAGACTGATATTCTCATCAAAATTTTGGGCACCAGATATAGAATGCATAGTGTGTACGTTCTTGAGCTATTCGGTCCACTAACCACTGGCCTACCTGTTACTTGAAATTAGTTTTTAGCGATATTTGCTGTACTCGTATTGCTTGTAAATTGTAATTTGCACGAGCTGCATGTTGTATCAACCATTGAGCTATATTTTTAACGAGCCATGATGTGCCTTGCAAGGGGTTTAATGTACGCGTTATTACCTCAACACCATAGAACGGACGTTATGTATAGTAATAATATGGTAATTATTCGCTCCTGCTTTTTGCAATCCGTTCGTCACACTGACAGCTGCCATTGCTGCAATGCTTTGGCTGACGCGAATGCCAACGATGCCTTTGATAGCGGCCCGCGATTTATCTGAATTTTATTACACTAGTTTGAAGTGTTTTTTGGGGTAGAAATGAACCGTATGTATAGGACGTCTTGCTTATGGACAAATGAATTTATGCAGGCAGAACACAGACCAGGGTTCTCCCCAGATGAATGGAAACGGGGGGGGGAGGAGGGAGGGGGAGGGAGGGGAAACCAGGGGGTCCGGGGAGTGTTTTTTTTTACGGCGTAATAAAATAAAACATAAATTAATGCGTAAAATCGCCACCACACCATAGACGGTATTTGGGGTTCTTGTATATATAAGATAGCCGAGTCTGTGTACAGTTAGTGTTGGGTGTGGGACAGGTTGACTGTTTGTACTTGTGTATTGTCTGCAGTGCATGCGTGGCACGGTAAAAATACACGCCTCGGTGGTCCTGGTCGAATGGGAATTCTTGACGGTCGATTCCCGCGCTGTCAAACTTTTATTGTGGTGGAATTTAATCGGTGCGGAGGTAATTTAAACGGGGCGCAACGATTGAAACGGGGGGGGGAGTTTTCCCAAACGGGGCGTGGGCGCCCCGTTTGCGCAACGTAGGGAGAACCCTGCAGACACCAGATGAGCCCTGTCGCTCTGCGGCACTTGTTAGGGTTTATGAGCCAAAACATGGTTATTTAAGAGCACGCATAAGGCCTGTGCAAAGATACGTTGGACCAACTGTAGTGCCGTGCTTTTTCTAATGTGACTTCGTATGAAATCTACAACCATATTTGCATTTTAATTCACTGGAAAAAACAATATAAAAATCCAATGTTTGTCTAAGTCATGATACTTAAACAACATATCATGTAAGCAGGAAATCAATTCCACAGAGTGGCAGTAGTAACTATTGTTTAAAAGATTCTTGTTCTTAGCTTACACATCTATTTGAGCTATGCAATCTTAACAAAAAAAATTAATACTACACCAAATACATATACACCAAAGTACATACATCGCAACAATAGTATTTGCGCAGTGGGCTGGGCTGTGCTTACTTTAAGTTTTGGTTTCAGGTGTGTTATTTGCTATCTGTCTATTTAGTTACATAGTATGAGCCATTGTGTAAGCATTTGGATGAGTGGATTGCATGGCATATAGTGTGTGATCATGGTCACATGAAGCAGTGCTAGGCATGCGAGTGAATTTCGTACTCCTTAACAGAATGGAAGGTTACAGAAGCAGGTGGCAGACGCCTCGGAGAGAGCTGAGTCGGCAGAGATGCAGATTCATGGAATATCCGCTCAGTACAGAACCCTCCTGGAAAACAAGGAGGTACAAATCTTGACTGTTTGGAAACCTATATCACTAGGGGGTGGAACTGCTCAAATGGTTAAGAGATAATTCTAAAAGTGGTACGTTTATAGAGCAGGGGAACGTACCAAGTGAATGAACAATTAAGTTTCATATATTAAAAGGTATACATTATTAAGTTATGTTAAATCAGATATATCATGAGATATCTGTGTTCAATCTATGCTCGGGTAAAAGTGTAAGTGTAGAGCTTGATGATATTAGGCTTGGCCTTATACATATATTATTAGGTGCATCCTATTTCAGAAAGAAACTAAAGATCTAACGGACAGGGTTCACGACCTCGAAGATTTAAATTCAAAAGCGATAATGTCCCCACCCAACTCTCCTGGCTCTCATCACAACCAGAATCACCATGGAAATCAATATCAAGATGACAACCGGATGATTGGTCATGACCTTGTTGAATTTGCTGATGTCATTACTTCTCAGCGAGAGATAAACAGGCTTTCGCAAGAGGTGCAGCGATTGCGTACCGAGTGTGACAAGTGGCGCCATCAAGCGGCACATAAAAAGGTAAATGTTGGGTCATGTCTGATGGCACAGAAGAATGAGTGAATCCACAAAAGGGAGTGAAGGAGTAAGAGAGTAGGGAAGCGAAAAGGAAACAGGTGAAGGTGAGGAGGTGGTGTGATAGAGGTGGAATGTGAGAAGAGAGGAAGAGATGGATGAGTGATGTAAGGAAAAGCAGGGGAAATAATATAGAAGAAAGGTGAACAGTGAAGCAGAATGAGAATTATCCCTCCAACTAGTTTAAGAAGTGTTTAAAACTAGTTCAAATAGTCTTATCTTATTTTTAGATGTAAGAGCATTTTCTTAAAGCTGCACCGTAGGTACCAGTACTTGGGTTATAAAAATATAAATGCCAGTATGTTTATGTGCACTGGCAAATGTCCAGGAGGTTTTGTCAGGCATATATATCATAAATAGTTATAAACGATAATGTGACTATTGTAAGTATAGTATGGCTTCACTTCTAAAGTTATCGCATTTTATACTTGTGATGCCATAAATATTTATTGTGTCCCTAACCATGTGCCCCAGCTCTACATTTCTTAATTTAAAATCTGTCTGTTAATAAATCCAGAGTATAGATTGTTTAGCAGTTCTAGAAGTGATTAGCATTGGAACATTGTTAATTGGATTGCCAGAGTGAATGTGCCAGGTTGCTTTTTGTAGTACCAGTCTTATATGTGCCAAGAGAAATGTAATTAGATGAATTTTCTCTTATGAACTCGTTCATACATACAACATTAATTACCCAATAATATTTAGTTGACCTATTTGGTGTAACATAACGGCTAACAAGTCTACTGCGGTTGGGCCAATTTCTTTCTTGCCCTATCATTCATTTTGATTCTCAGAAAATGCGCATGCTAAGTGTTCACGGAGTTTTTACAATGATTGCATTCATTCACAAAATCCGCAATAAGTACGTGTTAATCGGCTGTACACATCACCAAAGGGTGCAATCATGTCTTCTGACTAATCGCTTTTTTCATTGAATAATTTCCTCATCTGGTTTTATCTGTTATAAAGTCCTTAAATACATATACACGGAAACATCATGGCGACTATAATGTAACCCTTGTATGTGATCACGCCATATCACACACTATACCAACGCACCTTGACTAGCATGCAGTTATTTTTTGGCGTTCTTTCAACAAATAGTCGAGGCGCCATTGTCTGTCCTGGTAACGTATGACTGTGTCACATGACATGTGTCATGTGCTCAGCTGTGCACATGTACATTTTGCGTAGGGGAGTATATTTGCATATCACATTTTTCAGTCTGCCGCAGTTAGATATGTTTGATTTAAATTTTAAGTGGGTTCACTGTTTCACCTATGTGGCTGTAGGTATGCATTATACGTATGATTTTTGGCAATCTCTCCCACCAGCTGTTTGTATAGGAGAACCGAAAGTGTTGTTTACAGGTGGTGGGTGGGGAAAGTGTATATAGGCACTCTCCATTTGCACTGTGATAGACCAGGGCTATGGGCCCCAGTGTTGGTAAATATGAGCAGGTGATTTTGGGGGCTTATCTTATCGTACCAGGAGTCTGTATTAGCGTATGTATGTGTATATGTAGGTGTGTTTTGTGTGTGCGCATTATGTGCGTGTACAAATATGTCTATGGCATGTGTATGTATGTGTGTATGTGGGTGTTAGTGTGCGTGGGCCTGTGCGTGTACATGTACATGTGCATGTGTGTGTGCGTGTGCGTGTGTGCGCGTGTGCGTGTGTGCATTTGCCCTTGTGGGTGTGTGCGTGTGTGCGTGCACGTGCGTGCACGTGCGTGTGTGTGGGTGTGTGTCTGTGTGCATGAGTATATGTGTGTGCCTCTGTATGCTTAAACACACCAAAGCATTGTAAGCTCACAGGCTTGTGTTAGAATAAGAAAGGGGAATGAACTCAAGGGGAATGAAGGGCAATTATAGGTAAGAAACTCGTTAATCTCAAATAAACTCGATAATAGCTGGGCAGATCAAGTAAACCGGTGGGTCAAGGAATAGACAACCGGTGAGAGCAAAAGTAGGTAAGAAAGTATGGGTATAGTTGGAGAGAGAGAAAGCGAGAGAGAGAGAGAGAGAGAGAGAGCGAGTTGAATTTAAATTAATTGAATACTAAAAGCATTATCATAGTTTCCAATTTTAGAAACGTGAATGTTCTTCTATGTTGGGTTTCGTAACTTTCGTTAGTGTGCTTCGTTAATGTTAGAAATGTTGGAAAAGTGTTTCATGCACATTCAATTTCTCATTTACAGGGATTTACAGCAGCAGGAGTGACTAGTGTCAGTCGTGAAGAACTGGTCTCTAAGCAGGATGAGCTGAAGCATCTGCAGCTCCATGTGCAGGTGAATGAGCATAATGTGTCCAATAGCAATCACATACCCAGTCTGTCAATCACTTAGACAGTTGAGGCTAACTTGCCTTGACTTCGTCAGGCAGTTAGTTCAACATTAGTTAGTCAATCAGTTAGTCAAATAATTGATTAGTCAGTCGTTAAGACCAATTGTTGACTAGTCACTGAGTTAGTTTAAGATCAGCTAATGAATCAGCCAGCCCAACTGTTGCTTAATTAGTTATTCAAGAGCTTAGTCAATGAGAAAAGTCAGATATTTAGGAGGGGAGGCAGTCAATCGAGTTCATGGGTGGGCAGGTGGGTGGCTGAGTGGTCAGTCAGTTACAAAGTGTAGTAACAGACTTGATAGGCAAGTAAACACATTTACCATTAAGCATGTGATTACACATTTGACATTCTATGTCATCTACTATTGGCCACAGCTACACTGTTTTTCTTATTTCAGCTATTTAACTGCTGTCTGTCTGAAAGCTGGTAATCGGGGCTTGGCACAATTATCTGTATTCAGCTGACCTACAGTTTCAAAGGGTTTTGCATAACTCGAGAAGATTTCTTAAAATTACTTGTTACTACTTCTCCTACCATCCCATAACCCATGTAGGTTGCATTGCTAGGTAGTTTTTTATTGCATATATATCGGCGATTACCAAGAAGTCATAAAGTTTATGTTAATATTTTGTTGGAATGACGAGATACATGATATGAAACATGACCGTCGATAACTTTATGAAGGTGAATGTAAATGTGATAATTCAGATCTAGTAATGCTAGCCGCACACTATCCGATTTTGCACTGTGCCCCCGCACACTATACGACCCGCTCCCGATCGAACGGGAGGCCCCCGCACACTGTCCGACTCAAAGTTGGTGCAAACCATGTCACTCTCGTCGCGTTCCAAGCGGATTTAGCGTGTACTAAGGGTCGAGAGTGTTTTTCCGCCATTTTTACCGAATGCGGTTCCCATGGCGCTACTCTGTGATCGATCAATTTTCTTCAGTGCTCGCCGATCGGGTCGGATGGCCACGCACACTATCCGAGTTGCGTCGTAAGCCCTCGCATACTATCAGCTCCCGATTCAAAATTCGAATCGGGCAAAAATGACCTCCCGAGCCAAACTTAAGCCTCCCGAGTCAAACTTAAGCCTCCCAATCCAATCGTAAGCCACCCAATCGTGCTCGGGTCGGATAGTGTGCGGCTAGCATAAGTCGTAGTGGGCGAAGTGTGTGAATGACCAACAGCCCTATTGTCTCCACTTTATTATGTTGCAAAGCTGTCTCGGTGTTATATGACACCCCCTTATTGGATGTTTCACAGCATCATCTTCACCAAGTCATGATTCACACACATTACGTTGCGAGTGGTTACATCTCACAACTCGGGCATTGCGTCAGAGTGTCCCGCTGTCCCTATAGTTAATTATGGTTTAATGTATTCGTTGTGCATGGCAGTGGTTGTCACCTATTCGTACCTGTGCTTTAGTGATCACACACCTCACACGTAGGCAAGAACCGTGACAGTTGGACTAATGGCAATAAATGTGTTGGTTTTATTCCCGCAATAGATATCGATTGTGAGCAAATGCATATATCACTATAATGGATTGTAAAAGCAGGCTATTCGGTGCATAGCTGATAAGATAGTGGTGGCGGTGTGGTGTGAGGGTATTGTCATAGGTTAAGCCGGTGTAGCGCGAAATTTCTGACTTGCGAAATATCTGAGATAGGATGCGTATGCGCATGCGTCCCAACCCGACCAATCACAGCTCGTCTTTGTGTGCGAAATTTCTGACCTGCGAAATAAATGATATAGGATGCGTATGCGCATGCGCACTCCACATATATGCTCAAATTTGGCGATTTCCACTTCAGCTAAGACACCAGCTGGTGGAGAAGGAGGAGGGGGAGAAGCTGGTGGAGAAGGAGGAAGGGGAGAAGGGAGAAGCTGGTGGAGGAGGAAGGGGAGAAGGGAGAAGGTGGTGGAGGAGGAGGAGGGGGAGAAGGAGGAAGGGGAGAAGGGAGAAGCTGCCTGGTTGTCGCGCGCAAATATCTGACAGCTGCTGCGAAATATCTGAGATAGGTATGCGGTATGCAGCGTGCCCGACCGATCAATGACGAGCTTTAGCTCTAGTTGCGGCCGTATCCTTTCAATAGTGAACCAAGAAATTGATAATAGTTCAAGGTTTTTTTATTGATATGTATGTCATATCCATGATCTTGCGAAGATTTTATAGCTTTGTTGCGCCACAAACGCCAACTTTGGGGAACATTTTTAATTAGCCTAATTTGAAATTAACAGGGGGCAAATACAACTTTTTACTAAATAGGCCTTAGAATCATGTGTGAATAGCTCTTTTCTATATAGGGTTGACACAAGTGAAAATCCATTTCGATGTTACTTTCGCCGATAAATAGGTCCAGGATCAACCTATAAAGTCAAGGTCAAGTCACTTCGGGCTCAAAATTACGCCTAATTTCACTTTACAACGGTAACTGCAATGAAAATTATGTGTTGCCCTGCCTGAAGGTGTATTGCAGTCTCCCCGATATTGCCATTGTTGATGATAGTAATGATGTAATTATCATTTTTGATAAATTAAAATAATGCCTGGACCATATGGGGTCAAGGTTACAATATGGTGTGTTCAAAATACAACTTTTAGAAATGACATAGAATCATGTGGATAACCACTTTTCTACACAAGCTTTGACTCAAGGATCCATTTGCGCATTTCTGATTCTTATATTCGCAGTTTAAAGGCCACGTCTTAAGCTGTATAAGGTCAAGCGTCAGGATCACTTCGTTCAAAACATTGACGAATTCGTCTAATTTCCGTAAACCAAAATGCACCATAATGATCATTTTCACGTACAATGCTGGATTAGAGTGCTTATCATCAAACCACAAAGATGAAAGCCACGGGCGCCATATCGTTTTAGCCAATTTTATTGCCGTCACAATAGCCTATCTGATCACAGAGTAACGGCGATCATATGGTCATCCCCGCAGGTGCCAGAAGAGGCCACGGGAGCTAACGAATCGAAAACCTCTTCTACGATCTTGCGGTAACTTTACCCATAGCCCAATCATGCATTAGCCAGACCAGCCATACTCTACTGCGTCTCGTATTAGAACTGTGCCTGTCAATAATGAGGTTAACTAAGCAGTCCCCTCAGCCTGGCCAGTCGATCCAAAAGTCACATACACTGGCTGCCACAACCAGACAACTTTGGCGGTCTAGCCTGTTCAAGATCCACTCACATGCCACGGAGCCCTACAGCAATGATAAAAAGTTGCCCATCACAGCCCCCTATGTAACATCATCTGCGTTTCCGCCTAAAAGCGTTGCCAGCCATTTTGAGCGGACCAACCAGTGTGCGCGCTACATCAGGCTATGGCCCTGCCGAAAAAGGGGGGGGGGTCATATCTGGATGTCATATTTGGCCATTGGTTGACAGCCTCGACCTACACATCTACACCCCAATGCGACGGAAAGGACACACACGCCATGGCACACGAATATCCAGCAATCTCAGGTCCATGTGGTATCATAATGCAGGGATTGTGCGCCGGCCAAGATATCGAACACCTGATAATACCCCGTCTTTCGAAAAGCTGCAGCCCCTTCCACCCTCGACTCCTGAAGCAGGTGATGCCGGATTGCGCTACTATGCCACGACAATGGTTGCAGAAACAGGAGCACACTGCTCATCCCACATATGTCTAGCGCGGCACGGCCAAGTTTTAAAGAAGTCATTCTACCAGCGAAGCCTGCATCGTGCCAGAAGAAGGATGAGCTATGAGCAGTGGTTGTTGATAGTGTTGAGTAAAGAGGGTGCACTTGATGCGCGACCTGATGGCGGTGCGGTTGACGGCAGCAAGTTCTTTGCCAGCCAATTGTATGGACAACCGCCAGGCACCTCCATACTCATGCTCGCTACGAATCTATACACCCGCTAAACGTGGGAAACTACTTGCGCATCATGTCACTGCCCGCCAACAGACAGAAATGCTCTAGCCACCATGCTGCGGTCGCCTGCCCCACCTTTTGGAAGGCCCTGCCGAACATTAGGGTCCTCCAGATGTTTCCATCTCAGGAACCCTAGGATGGGATTACCTGTGCTCCTTGCCCATTGATAGTGACGCCACAGCTGGGACCACCGCTTTCATGATGAATGCTGATCTGCCCTCGATGCTGCCTCGAAGCAATGGGGGTGGCGCAGCCAAAGAAGCTAAATGTAGCTGTCACGTGAAAAACTCAGCCCTGCCCACAAACTACTGCCCTTTGCACAGTGGTGATGCATGCTGCCAACACATTCACCAAGAAAGAGAGCGACGATGATAAGGATGACGAGCATGAGTGGTGATTTATGAGATCGGAGCAAGAAGACGATGAGCTGCAGGGTTGATTTTCAGAACAAGAACTCACAGAAACATCTGAGTTTCAAATCACGCAACAAAATTTGATGTGTGCAATAGTCATGCCTTTCTTGATCGCTTATAAATATCTATTAGTCATTTGATTTCGTCGCTAAATATATTTAAATTGCATTAATTTGTTCACAAATGTTGCTTGCTTTACTGACTTGTCTGTAGGGACGCTGACGTGTACGTTGACTACGCTCTACACTGTCATGGTTAATAAAGCCAGTTAAAAAGTCATAGGGCTGGAGTATTTTCACTTAAAAATATGCCTTTTAAATCGAATAAATAAACAATAATTATTTGTGAATGTTATAAGATCTTATGAAATTTTAGCTGATTTTTACCTTGACCTCTAATGCAAGACCGCTGAATCCCATATTGGCCCCATACATTATTAGAATTTATCAAAAATAATAATAATTAACTACTTGCAACATTACCACATCCACAACTTAATATTGGCGACAGTTCCGAAGGTGGCCAATTTTGCTTTACGGAAAAGCAAAAAAAAAAAAAAAAGTTCAGCGAATTTCGTTCAATTTGAACCAAAGCTGATCCTCGCACCTTGACCTTATAGGTTAAACGTGACCTTTAACTGCATAAATATAACATCATGAAATGGATTCTTGAGCTCAAACTTGCTGTACGAAAAGTGTTATCCACCATGATTCTAGCTCCATTAGGTTAAAATTGTATTTTGACCCCATATTGCTAACCTTGACCCATATGCGTCCAAGCATTATTTTAATTTAATCAACAATGATAATAATCATTACTATCATCAACAATTCAATACGCGTGGATCAAATCCTTCACAGCAACACGATAATCTTTCAGGTCAGTTACCGCTTGTAAGTGAAATTAGGTAATAATTCTTAAGCCAAAGTGACCGTTGCACCTTGACTTTATAGGTTGATTCCTGCCAACCTTTAATCAGCGAAATAACAGTCAGAAATGGATTCACTGCGGTCAACCCTATATAGAAAAGAGCTATACACCCATGATTCTAAGCCTATTAGTTAAAAAAGTTGTATTGGCCATGTCGAATTATCGCAATTAGCCTAATTAAAAATGTTCCCCAAAGTTGGCGTTGTGCCAACAAGGCCTAAAAATATCCAGACATGCGATATGCAATTACATATCCAATAAAAAAACCTTGAACTATTAAAAATATTCTTGGTTTCGCTATTCATGCAACTGGACTACTTGTCTTTTGTGCTTACGCATAGCCGTGTGTACACTAGTCACTTGAAGGCGTTTGTCGTAAATATTTGAAGAAGCTGGTGGAGAAGGAGTGGTGGGAAGAAGCTGGTGGAGAAGGAGGAAGGGGAGGAAGAGCAGAAGGTGGTGGAGAAGCGAGGAGCTGCGAGAAGCTGTGGAGAAGGAGAAGCCCCGGGGAGAAGGAGGGGAGAAGCGGAGCTGCCGTGGAGGAGCGGGGAAATGGAGAAGCTGGTACGTGGTGTGGGGGAGAATGGAGAAGCTGGTAGGAGAAGGAGGAGGGTGGGCAGACGCTGAGGAGGGAGGAGGCGGGAGAAGGGAGAAGCGATGGTGGAGGAGGAGGGGGAAGAAGCTGGTGGAGGAAGGAGGAAGCCGGGAGAAAGGAGAAGCTGCATGGAGAAGGAGGGCGGAGAAGGAGGGGAGAAAGGGAATC